ACTTCAAATAAATGTTTCTTCATAAGAGATATCATTTCCTAACAGATTCTTCCAAAATTATTGAAAAATTATAAAACCAATTAAACAAAAGTAATTATCCACTTTTAAATTACATTTTAATTTTAGATGGTATCAATTAGCTCCAAGAGACCAACATATTAAAAGCCTAGTGTTTTCTCCCTCCACTTGCATATCTAATTGTTCTTACAGTGATTATTGTTCCTACATTAACAACTTTTCAAATTCATTCAGTAACTATAGTTCCCCAAAAACTCATCTTGCATGGATTTTTCTCACTACACAGTCTTGTACCACAATCTCTGAGCCTGGGCTGTTTTGGCTTTGGTTCTTGGCTATTTTGTTGCCCTTTTGCAGGAGTTTATAGTGGACATTATGTTCTCTGAGCTCCTCATGTCTGAGAAGTTATGATGCTTACCCCTACCCTTGTACGTCATGCCATACCTGATATACTTAAGACACCTTTCTCTTAGAATGATGTAAATATTGATTAGCAATGTTTTGTCACTGAATGGTACTGTGGAGAGATCTAAAGACAGCCTGAGTCCCTCAGTGTTTGCTGATTTTCTTTTCATTTGTCTAAATGACTGAACAACTTTTTGTCCTAAAGTTTAAGTTGAATATGATTTCTATGTATGGAACCTTTATCAAATTGCCATAGGATGAAGAGTGCTCTGTCAATGTATAGACTGACTGTTTCCCTGTTAAGCCAAATGTTCTGTTATGACCAGACCTTTAATTTCATTTGGGGAGTTCTTTATTTTAAGGGCACCGATTATCCTAAAGTTGTGTCATTTACGTCTTTGAGAGCCATTAGCTTTTAACTTCTGCTGTCTTTTTCACTGACATTGTCTTGATTATCTGAAGTTGTCATTGGTTTACTTTTAACAGTATCTGCTCAGTATCTTAAAGTTAATGATTTACTATTAGTTGTGTGATGATATTATTTGGTCATCAATTTGCTCCCTTGGGTCAGTAATCTAATAGATTGTAAGAAAATGCTTTATGCACCTTAATTTTCCTCTATGTATGATTCTTTTGTCCTCCTCCTCCTCTCACTCCTTCTTTTCCTTACAATTTCTTTCTTCTGCTTTACTTATGAAGTTTGTCTTCAGGTAGCTTGTGTGCACTTCTCAATCTAAGATGAACTCTGTTTCTCCCCAGGCCTACAGTTTTCAGGGCAGTGTTCTTTATTCTATCCACTCTAAAACACACTGAGACACTGGAGCAAGGTCGGGTGATAAATTGAGGAGGGGGTAATCTTTGCTGGTACACTGTGTTCTGCTTCTTCTATTAAGATTCCGTTAACATTCTCATGCTAGAGCCATAGCCCTAATTAAAGGATATCTCATTCTCACGGGAAGATATTCATGAACATTCTATCATTTCCATATCATGGTCACAAAATATCTGCCTTTTCTTTTTAATATGCAACCCTTTTTTACCGATTTCTCCACAGAAATTGTTACCACATCTTTGGTCAGAACAAGGAAAAGATCAGTTTGAAAGATAAATTAAAAATTGCAGGGTTGTGTTGATTCAGCAATCTCCTTCTGAAAAGCTGGTGGTTACATTGGCTGGCTGCCTCCATGCTACACTCAGTCCTTCTGCTTCTGCTCCTGGAACTCGGTGTTGAAGTCTGTTGCATCATGTTACACCACTGATGTTGTTGATAGTAACTTTTGGAGGATCTGCTTTTTCCTTTGTCCAATTCTGTGGGCATTATGAAAAGGAAATTTAATATAACCATACTGAAATTGAAGGGCATGTCTAGTCTGTAGTCCTTGGCTCATATCATGTGTTTGATCACCAGTGACTTAAGATCGAGCATCCTATTCTGCCCCTAGTCTAACCTTGAGTCCATAATAGGTTGTTACAACAGTCAGTTCTAGCAAGAAAAGACCCAGCATGCCCTTGAATTGTCCCCCAAGCATATTTTGTTGTCTATAAATGGATATTTTACTTTAACCCTTTTCCTCTGTCACTGAAGACGTATCTCTTTCAGTGTCTGAGCTCCTTAGAAATCAATATTCTAATTAGAAAATAGTAGCTAATCTGTCCAAATGCTAATAAAGCAGAATTGTGATTTATCTAGCAACAGGGGCAGCACTTAGCATTAACAATTAAAAGGTCTGCAGGGAAGAGAGCAATTTTTTTTTTTACTCTTCTCTCTAACTGATTGGATTCAGCCCTATGCTATTAATAGCCCTTCAAATTAATGACCATCTACCTGAAAAATCAGTCATCAGAACCACAGTTTAGGAACATTTGCCTCTGGGAGTCATAGACCCTATTCTATTTCTCAACAACAGGAACTTATAGTATGAATTCAAACTTTATTCTACCTAGCCACAAAGACCAAATCATACCACAGACGCTCTTCAGGCTCCATTTTAGTAGGCACAAATTTTATGATTATTTAATTCATTTGCAAGTACAAGCTCTTCAGGAACAGAGCTAGAATGGTTAACTGAAGTCAGAGTTCACATCAAAGACTTGCTTTACAATCAAATTTCTTTAAGAAACTTCCAAAGTATATTTTTTCTACATTGGACACATTAACTGGGTATTCGGTAAAACTCTTCACTCTAACCCGACTGGACACAAAGTCAGAGGTAGAAAACAGCTTACATAAATCAAAGGTAATAACCATCTTCTCCACAGCACTCTGAAGAAGACTTTTTAGGAAAAGCAACTCAGTGTTTTGTCCTTAGTAGCACAAGATGTCTCAACATATTTTTTTTGCTAGTATCTTCCGTTTCATCGAATATTTATTACTTGCATAATAACCATATAAAGTCTCTGACCTTGACATATTATTTCATGACATCATACATTTAATCAACTCTGAATGACTTCTTTGGTCAGCTTGCACGCCATTTCCTTGGCAAATCCCCACAACAACAGAACCATCTTCCAATCCAGTCGGTTGTCTTCTCTTTGGGGCTCCTCTCTACCTGTATGTGCTTCTGTCTTCATCTCATCAAAATTTACTTGAACCTAAAATTATCTTCTCTTCTGTCTTCTGTCTCTCCCCAGGGACAAAGCCTTACACATATTCAATGTGCAATGCCTATGTGGTCATCAAACATAGAAGTGATTATTGAATAACTGCGGAGCATCAGCTCTTTGTTCCTACTTACTGGAATTCAGAAAGACAGATTTTTCATAGATTTAATTGTTTTCCAAGAAATCTTGAACCATTTCAGAATACAAAACTCCTTTCCGAACAAGCCCAGCCTGCCAAATGGAGAGGTCCTGGCAGGTGCTGACGCTGCACTGTTGGTTGGCGAGACAGCCAACACATAGAAACTCACTATGCTTTAATATCTCATCTACAACTTCCAAAATCCACATGCTTCAGAGCATATATTTGAAATCATTTGCTGATGTCTTTCCAGCATCACCCAGACCTGTGCAACTCAAACAAATGTACATACAAACCACCTGTGGGTCTTGCTTTAAAATGCAAATCCATATTCAGTAGGCTTGGGAGGAATTCGGCATTTCTGATGCACTCAGGGTGTGTCATTACTGCTGATCACCAGACCACTCTTTGAATGTTCCAAAATATACTCTCATGGCAATTATTCCAAGTGTTGAAGTAGCAATCAGTTTTCTATAAACTCCCACTGCCCCTCATCTGGACTCTGGTTACAATGAAGCATGAAAGCCATACCCATAAGGGTGAGTCCAGCAGTGGTCCAGAAAAAAAATTTTTTTTTCTTCTTGGCCTTAGTTTTGCTGTCTGAACAAGTCTTTGCCCCTGCACTTTAGATGAACTAGGTGAATGTATATCATTGTTTTCCCAAATATTCTAGATTGCCATGGTCTGCTTAAGTCTCTTCCATGTTGAAATATAATATCTCAGGACCTTTAGGTAAATAGAAATACCTTTTAACATAACTAAAAAACTAGGAGCTGGAATGTAGCTCAGTAATAAAGTACTTGCCTAGTGTGTGCAAGCCTGATTTGAACTCCAACTTTGGAAAACGTATATAAAACTTCAATCACAGCTATTTTTTTATTGTGTGTATGTGAGAGTATATGTGGTGTGTGTGTGTGTGTGTGTGTGTGTGTGTGTGTGGTGTATGTGCACTCGTGTGTGTGTGTGTGTGTGTGTGTGTGTGGTGTATGTGCACTGTGTGGGGGTGGGGGGTAGAGGCCAGAGGAGGATATCAGCTATCAGCTGTCCTTCCCTATCACTGTTTGACTTATTATTTTGAGAAAGGTCTCAAAAACCTAGAGCTAGGCTGACAGCCAGCAAGCCCTGGCAAACCTCCCGTCTCTGCCTCCCACAACACTGGGGTCAGAGGCATACATGGCCATGCTGAACTTTTTACATGGGTGCTGGGGATTGAACTCAGGACCTTATGCTAGGACAGCAAGTGCTCTTACTCACTGAGCCATCTCCTCAGCCCCAAGAGTATTTCTTCAGTGGAATTTAAAAAACAATTCCATGATGTACTTATGGGAATCTATTTTCTTATTAATGCTTAGAGGTTCCTATGGCAACGGGTGTCAATTTTTTCAGTTCATGGCATCTACCACTTACTATGGAAGTCAAAGCCAATTAATCCACTGATTCCTCATTTGTCAGTTGAGTCCACCTTCCACTAGCCCGATACCCCTTCCTAGCCTTTCCTTTCGACGATCTTCCTCCTCTATTCCCCATGTCATTGTAGTCAACACCAAGTGCCCAAAGTGAATCTTTTCCAAATCATATGAAAAAGACTCAGCTGTACCCTACTGTAATAATGTGCTGCTCAGGGGCAGCTTTGGTGATCAGGTCTTCCCTTTGCATACTTAGTTTTTGCATGATTTCTCTTGGTGACATAGTTGAGTTGAACAGGAGTGGCAAGTGTTCTCACTACGGAGGGCACGTGGGAGTCAGTAGAACCCTCAGTTTGCCTAGTGCCACGGTCTGGAGAGAATCCTTCTAATGACCTTTCTTCCTTCTTGCCTCTCATGGCCTCATTCAGGTGAATGCCAAAGATGACGAAGGTGTCCTTGTTGGCTCATGGGATAATATCTACGCTTATGGCATCCCTCCATCAGCCTGGACCGGAAGTGTTGACATTCTACTAGAATATAGGAGCTCTGAGAAGCCAGTCCGATATGGCCAGTGCTGGGTTTTTGCTGGTGTCTTCAACACCTGTAAGTATCCAGTAGAGTAATTATTTTTAATGTAAAGGCAATTCCACTTCAAGCCTATAACCTAGCAAGGAGACTCAGCGGCTCCTGTTGGCTCTATAGAATTTATGGGTGACTATTCTGGGATACAGTCAATGCATAATTAAACTTTACTGGGCCAAATATGCTCACAGTCTGACTGCAGAATCTTTATGGAAGAAATGATAGACTGTTTCCTACATAATCCATCACCCAGAGCAATGGACAGTTGAAGGGGCTAAGGAAGAAAGTAGAGGAAAGGATGAGTCATTAAAAACATTTCTTTTACAGGTTAAAGGAAGGAAAACAAAGTATTAAATAATAAGGGAAGACATATTCTGATTATTGGTTATTCAGAAGTTATGTAATATGCTGATCTTTTATTGATGAGATATTTTGTAAATACTTAAATTTTTGTCCTAACTATGAAATGGCTTGTGACAGGTGGTTTTATCTTCCTCTCCACCTATGAGTCTCCATGGCCCTAAGTAATTAGATAAAAGGACACAATAAGCTATCTTTTATCTCCCCCACTACCCTTCTGGTCCTTAGTCCACCCAGCATCTTATGCATAGAGCAGAACAGACAGAACAGAGTCAGTCTTTCAGCCTCATGCATCTTTCCCAAGTCTCATTTGCATTTCTGGGCCAAGTAATGTTATAGTCGATTCAGTAAATATTTTAAGAAAAACATTTATTCCAATGTGTCTTCATCATTGGCAACGATTTTCTTTCACACACCATTTCTACAACCTGGGAGAAACGTAAAGTTCAAGTCAGAGTGTCCTTTCTGCCTACTCATTATATAGAATGTTTTACCTAGTTAGCATTTTTTAATAAAGCCTTTTAAAAATGAGAGTTTGGAGGCTATTGGCGTGGGAAAGACTGTTTTTTAAAGTGATTGTAAAGCCCACCAATTAGCTCACAGTTGTAATAGTCTAGGACTTGGTCAATGTTCCATAAACAGAAATGATGTTTTGCTTCATTTGTTTTGCTTCCCTGTGGCACTGACTAAGAATTTTTCAGAGCCTTTTGAATATACTCAAAGGCTAAAGGAAAGTACATTCCCTGGGACCAGTAAAAAGCTAAAACACTAGTCTTCGGAAGGGGCTGGTCCTGATGTCAGCCAGAAGCCTGAGTGTCATGGTGAACTGAAGGTTTGAAGGAATCTCGCTCAGGACTCCCAAGCCAACGCAATGATGAGTAGCCATTCTCCTAAAATCATTCCAGAGAAAACAGACCCTAGTCCTCCCCACAGCTACAGTAGCAATGCCCTACCATCTCAATACTTTTGGGTTTAGAAAACACCTTACATCCATGTATGCTGTTTTCAGAGAGGCTGGATCTGTGCCTAAAAACAGGATTTGGTGGTAAATTAAGCAAAGGCAGATGTGCACTGTGAGGAGGTCATGATATGAGCAAATCTGAAGGGAAGTTGATGGCAGATGGAGCCAGACCCCAAAGTCAGTCTGAATAAGGCAGACCTGTGAACAAGTTCCCTTCTATAATAGTAGGAATTAGTGTCCAGCAATTCATATTAGAGTTCACCTGAAACAGAACATGATTAAAAGTGATTGTGCTGGTAAGACTGTGGATGAATAGAAGGTGCAGAGGAAGGGAATGGGAAGCCAGTGATGGTTGCCACCCTGTTCTATGAGGCTTAAGATCAAGTCACTTAAAGATCAGGACAGCAAGCTCTGCTAGACTCGCACTTGGACTTCCAAGGCTGTTCTCTTGAAAGGGGTGGATAGTCTTTGGTTTAAAAATGCTAAATTATTCTGAGGGAGGGAAAAAAGAGGCAAGCCAAGTCATTAATCTTAAAATTGTCAGCTGAATTATTTCCAATGAGCCCTGATGCCTTGTGTCCTGGGAGCCAGGGAGGGCATTTGGATTAAGCTTAATCAATAGATGCATATGGCAAGAGATGCACCCAAGTAATTTATTATCTAAGAAGTAAAATTAATCTGCCGTGTCACCCTGTACAGAGTGTCACAGGAGCAAATTCCATCCAGGAGGAGAAAGCCCCACTGAGGACCCACCCTGCACATTCCTAACTTCACGTGGGTTTTCTTTAAAAATGTGTTTTCAGGAACATGGTGTCAAGTGGACTAAATACTATTTTGATGACCCAGTGGGTAGACTCTAAACTACTAATAGTGTTGTTGGGCTTCTGTTCCAGTTGATCTTGCTGGCACCATCTTTAGTTCCAGAGGATCCCACAACACAGCAAGATATTTCTCTCCAGCCTGGGGGGCAGTGTGCAAGTCATCCCTCCTTCAGTCTGGAACATCTGAGGAAGGGCTTTTTCATGCTGGAAGGAAGAAAGCCCCACGGGGAAGCAGTTTTTGCAGTTTTGTTACATGGGTTGATGTCTCCAATGATGGTTCTCTCCTACAGTTTTGCGATGCCTTGGAATTCCAGCAAGAATAGTTACTAATTATTTCTCAGCCCATGACAATGATGCCAATTTGCAAATGGACATCTTTCTGGAAGAAGATGGGAACGTGAGCTCTAAACTCACCAAGGACTCAGTGTGGTGAGTTTGGTTTCCAATAGCACTGACTGATACCAGATGACATTACACACTTCCCATAAGACAGATTCTGCCAAGTGTTTCTCTCTATTTTAAGGATCATTCAATGTCATAGGCATACGTGTCTTATTGTCACAGACTTTTTAAGCTAATGAATGGGAAGAGTTGCTGAGTAGGCAATAAAACGCAATCACCTGTATGAGAGCAACCATCAAAACCAGACATAGCTAATACTCAAAGCTCGTTAGTTCCTATCTAGCACATTATACCATGGTTGATGAGGGATTGCAACCCAGTGCTCATATCTATTCAGCATGACCTAGGTTCCAGTCTCTGTGTTTGCACAATCTTATCTGCTTTAACAGTTATATCAGATGGGTGGTGTCAGATCCCCCATTTACAGATAAGGAAATTGAGGCCCAAAGAGGTTTGTTCAAGGTCACATATCTGGTAAACTGACATTAAATGTTCATCTCCCCTGGTTCTTAACCACACCCATTTTTTACCTCTGCAATACAGGGTTGCTCTTTGAGTATAGAGTTGAACTTGGCCTTGATTGTGTGCCCAGCTTTTGTTTAGAGATCAGGATGGTAACAAAGCTGACATTTCTTCCATACACCAACTACATACCCTGAACTGCTGTGCTGGAAGCTGGCCATCCTATAGGGAGTGTGAGCCCACAAAGAAATTGTGTTTTTCCTGGAGAACCCATCAGTCCAATGCAGTACTCTTAAATGAGGAAAGTGTCCTCAGAGTCCAAATGGGAAGGATATTTAGGAAGCTCTATATGGGAGGAAATGAAGACGTAATTTTAGCTGTCACCAGGCATTGAGCTAGGTGAAATTTCCAAGCCAAAACAGTGTCTCACAGAGTTGTTCTTTACAAGTAATAAAGCTGAAACAGTGTTGGTTGTAAAAGCGCCCGAATGGGGATGGTGGGAAGTTACAAGCTCATTTTTAGAGAAATTAAAAGTTAGAAGTACCCAAGCTCCTGTGTTGCAGACATGGATTAGCTTCAGAAAGAGCATTAACTCACCAGGACCCATAAGTGGCCATCGGAGAATGTTGAAAGAGGGAAATGGCTGAACTGCCCTGAACTAGCAGCAGTGAGTTACTGTGAATAAAAAAGCTTCTCATTTGAAGGAATGAGCTGAGCCCAGTGTAAGCTGAGAGCTTGGGCAAGACAAAGCCTGGACCCTGCAAACTGAACAGCAATTTAAAGAGCCATTTAAGCCCATGGAATTACAGCTAGTGGTCCTGTGTGTCTACTGAATGACAGAAAGAGATGGAATCATCAACCCCAAAAGCCCACTATGACAGTCCAAATGGCAAAAGGATATTTTGTGCTCTCTCTTCTCTCTCTCCCTCTCCCTTTCCGTCTCTGTCTCTCTCTCTGTCTCTGTCTCTCTCTCTCTCTCTCTCTCTCTCTCTCTCTCTCTCTCTCTTTGTAGGAAGCTGCAGTCTCCCAGCTCCTTGATCCAAATAGTACCATGTAAGTCTCCTGGGGAACTCACCAAACAACTCAACAAGGCCCTAAACATAGTTGATATGAAGTGGTCAAATGGATGGATCTTGCTGTTGTTATCTCTTTCTCCTTTTGATATCCTATTCCAAATTCTTTTCCCTGTCTCTGGCACCCCCAAGACCTTCAGGACCTTTCTCAGCTATCTGCCCAGCACATGGACTCTGCTTCCTGGCCACACACACACACACACACACACACACACACACACACATGTACGCATGCACACACGTAGGCATGCACGTACTCCCAATGCATGCACTGCCTCCGATTCTGCTGCCTTCCTCCACCATGGGCTCTCAGGAACTTCAGTGTATGGTGACTGGGAATCTCACCAACAGTGGCCTATGTTGCCTCAACATGGGACACACCTAGTCCCTGAGACAGGGACAAAGGACTGAGTCAAAGGCTTGACTCTTCTGCAGACCAACTGTTTGACCTTGGGCAAGGTAGATCATCTCTGTGCCTCTTTCCTCCTCTAAAGTGGAAATGACAGAATTCCCTATTTCACTCAGCACAGAGCTGAGTATAACAGGTGTCCAATGATGCCAGCTGCCATGATGCCTTCATTATTAGGCGCACAGCTGGAGTCTTGGGGAGGCAATATGTTGCCATCCACCAAGTACTTTGACGAAGTCAAAAGAGAGGAAAGCCCTATGTCCTGAGATGACTGATATTTCTATAACTTTGGAGTATTTTTAACGAAAAAACAGAATCTTACTGTCCCCTGCACAAACACCAATGCACTTTAAAAGCTGTGTGTGTTTCAGAAAGCCAGTGTGTGGCAAGGACTCTCTTTGAGTGAGGGACTGGTGGGCAGTCTCCAGGACACATCAACCAGGATGTGGTCATCACAGCCACACCCCATGTCAAGCTCTAGGTTGGGAGGTTACTTACTGTTTGGCTATGAGGAAATGACTTTACTTCTCTATGCTTTGAGGTCCCCATCATCAGAAATGGGGAGTCTTAGCAGATACCATTTTCTGGTGGGGTGACTATGGAAACTAAATGAGGTTATCCAGATAAAATGTTATCCAGATATCCAGGTGGAGTATCTCTAAACCAAAAATCCCAAATCTGAAATATTAAAAAATTCAAAACTTTTCTTTTTGGTCTTTTTGAGACAGGGTCTCCCTGTAGCCCCAGCTAGCCTGGAACTCACTATGTAGACCAGGCTGGCCTTGAACTCACAAAGATCCACCTGCCTCAGCCTCCCAAGTGCTGGGACTAAAGGCGTGTGCCACCACGCCCGGCTTACAAAATCCAAAACTTTTTGTGCACCAAATAACACATATGGAGAGTTCCACACCTGATCTCCTGTGAGAACCAGAAGCAAAACACTGCACCATGTAAGGCAATGTGTAGAAGCTCCTTTGAGATATGTGTATAGGACGTTCTTACATGAGACGTAGGTTAGTACATGAAACACAGCTTATTTTCAAGTCAGATTTGGATCCTACTCCCAAGATACCTTATTATGCATATGCAAATTTCCAAATTTGAAAAGATCCAGTATACCCCATACGTCTCCAGTATCTACACTAACTACAGGGGCAGGCCTGGTGCTGATTAAAGCAATGCTGGACACAAGGTAGGAAGGAGAGGCTAGAGTGGGGGTGGGACGGAGGGAGGGAGAGAGAGAGGGAGAGAGAGCTAAAGAATGGGTAAAATGATTGCTGGCCATCACCTCACTACTCAGAGATAAGAGTCAGAGTCATGTAGACTGGCAACACATGGCCTAATGGCCTAATGAATTTCCTAGCACAGGTCAGGGAGGTTCAGAGAGCTGGCTCAGGACTGTTTGAAGGGTTGGTGTGCTCAGATCATTCCAAAAACCAATTGACACTGCTTGGTTTTCATCTGTTGATGCTTCTCTTATAGTCACAGAGTATGGGAGACTGGCAGCTCAATTTCTTGCTTCCTAGATTTCCACCTTAGTCTTTTGTGTAGTAGCTATTCCCTCTGAGAATGCCTACAGTACGTATAGCCTCTGGGGGAGGTGGCACGAGTGACAGTGGGCAATTTGATAAAACTGCTGGCCCAGTGCTTTACTGTCGTTCAGACAGAGAGGGAACATAAGAGCCCCTTGAGGAAGGAGAGTTGGCTCATGCTGGCAGGCAAGGGACAATGACAGTTTCATTGTGCCTTATGAGAGCCATTTGGCCATCTCATTATACAAAGGTCACACTGGGAATAGAAACAATTTTAAAAGACAGGGCTGCTGCCACTTATTGGGGTCATGAAGGTATTTGAGTACAAGGTTTCCCTCCTGCTTGGTGTAAGTGTTGCCCCGTGTCCTTTGGCTCGAATGAGTGGAATTTAGTTTGATGAATCTAGGTGGAAAACTGTGCCCTTCTCGGCATTTTACCCATCAGAATGTAGCTCCCGACAGGGGAGCAGTGTCTGATCTCTTATTTTTGTTTATTTTACTTGTATGTAACAGCACGCAGGTCACAGAGCTAGCACTGAATAAATGGTATCGGCTGGGAAAATAGAAAAATGCTAACAAAATGTAATAAATACCATCTCATCATTCTGAGAAGATTTATTGCACATAACTATGTCCAAACATCAGATGCTGAGGTTGCCCAGAGAAATTAATCAGGGTCGTTTCCCTTGAGAAGCTCTGCCAGTGTTCCTAGGGAGACAAGGCACATAGAACACTCCGTACAAAACGTAAGAAGGGTCAAAATGTGCACCAGGAATCAGAGAGACCAGAGGAGGAATTTTCTTCCTAAGCCCAGGGAAACAGGGCTGCTCCCATGTGAAGTGGCCATGGAGTCAAAGCCATTATCTCCCTATAAGCTCCTGGCTGTGCTGTTCAAAGATGGAAAGCCTGGGAAATGTTCTTCTCAGCCCACAGATGAAACTCGGGCTATGTCCTTAAAGGTCCAATGGCTGAACTGAGATGGCCACACATCAGTCTACTTCAGGGACCAGGGAGGCGGGGATAGCCTCGAACCCACTGAGCATGGGTTATTATGACCACGGGTGCTGAACACTCAGTCCAGTCTTGCTTATATGACGAGGCCTTTTGTATGTCTTAGAGGATCCAACAGTGTCCCTCTTAGATCCAGAAGTTTTGCTATCCACTGACCATTGACTCTTTGTTTCTACCTCCGAAGCTCTCCTTTCAGTATCTCCTTCAGCCTGCTCACCATGCCCCTTAGGGCCACTTAGCACAGTGGCCCTAAGTTACCATGGTTTCAGTTACAGTTGCTAATTTTTTGATGAGTTAAAAGCAATCTGTATTCAGTAGAAACAACTTCAGTTTTTGAAGTTGATCTTTTCCAGGGCTAGAGAGATCTAAGATTCCCTCATGATCCTGGTCTGAGGCAGCAAATCATACCTCTGGGTCTGCCATGCTGTCATAAGGGGAAAAGGGCCCACACTTCACAGTATGCTGGGGTTAAATCGATGTGTGGTTCATTCGGTGCATTAAATGCATTTTCCATTTTGACATTTCCAACCGACAGTGGTGG